TCTGATACCACCAAAATCTGAAGATCAAATTATAAAATTCTCTCTGATATCATAAATCTCCAAATACACTCTGGTTTACAAGATCATGATTTACTTCTAAAATCTATATCAATCTCGAAATGGCTAGTCTCCTAACTCATCACTTCCCGTGGTTTCCCCGTCCTCGGTTTCACTTCCTGAAATGGTGGACAAGGAAAACTATGAGATAAACTCAGTAAGTAAATATGGAGTGCCCCTTATTTAAACTTATAGCATGCCAACAAGTGCAATCATGAAAAACGGATACAGTACGGGAACGAAATAGACGTCTCCTCTATAGGTCATGGCCAGTGTATTAAACTTTCCACTGGCAGGCTACACTTGGACGAACCGGTTCTATCAATAACATGTCGACATGTGCTAGCGTTTAACCTTCACTAGCAGGATTACAATCAATAACATAACCATATCGGAGACAAAACAGGCAGAAGTTCACAGAAAATCATTCTTTACCAATCACTTTCAAATCATCAAGACAATCAATTAAATTTCAAGTAGGCATGCTCAATTTAATGAAAAGCATAAAGCATTTCACTTCAAATCAGTCATACTTGTGTAAAACGGGTTTAGTCCCGCCACCACTTCAAAAACAAATCAAAACATGCTTTTAAAAATTATACGGGCATTACCATAAATTTACTTACCTCATTTGCTTAAAATCGAGCACTCAATCCATAAAACCGAGCACTCAATCTCAGTGCTAACTGACAGAACGATCGGGAACCTAATCAAAACACCTCAGAATTAATACCCGACTATCACACATTCAAACTGAAATCATCATTAGGATCACTCCTAATCACAATGCTATTTCTATCACTTTCCACATGATCGGACATCTCCAAATTCGGTCTCATATCACAAACTAATCATTTAAATTCCCGTTAAATGTTGGCCCTCGGGGTGTGAACAGTAACCGGTGAACAGTGCCGGTGAACAGTGCCGGTGAACAGTGACCCCGACGTGAACAGTAACTGCAACTTCCAAACAATGGCCAACCACTAGCTAATCACGGGGTTTTCTCTCCAAAAATCACAACAAGTAATTAACACTCAATCACATAAATCCCACTTGAATTAAGCTAAATCATGGTCCTAAAGCTACCGGAATTATCCCCCAATTTTCAGCCAAATTCGAACAACAATAGGGTAGCAATTAGATGGCTAATTTCAAGCTTAAATGGCTATCAACATACCATAATTCTCCAGCTAAAACCGGAGCTGCAGGGGGGGAAGAGGCCGGCGGCAAGCTGCAGGGAAGCTCACGGGTCTACCCAAAATTGAAGGAAATAAGAGCAATCAAAGTTAACCCAAGCCAATTCAAGCAAGAACAAGGGAAATTAGGGGCTGTTCTTACCGAAAAAAATGCCCAGAAATCACCCACAATCAAGAGCAGCCGGCGGAAGGACAAAGCAGAGCAGGGCAGATCCGGCTTTTTCAGCAGAGGGGGAGAGATTTCTGGGTTCTAGGTGTGTTCTAGAGCAAGGAAAGAAGGAGAAAACCAAGCTTATCTCACCGGTTTCTCAAAGGCATGGTTGGGTTTCCCTTTCTTTTTCTTTCGAGTGGCTGCAGCGGGAAGAAATGAGAAGAAAAGCAGAATCGGGCTGGAGAAGAAGAAAGAAAGAAAGAAAAAGGAGAAAAAAAAAAGAAGTCATCCTTATCCAAAATCTTTCCCTCTTTAAGTCCCTCAACTTTTGAAATATTCACATTAGACCCCAAAACAATATTTTCTCACAATCAAGTCCCTAACTTACACTTAAATATTCCCGAAAATTTGGGATATTACAATTTTATTTACTAAATTTAAACTCATTAATAATTTTGAAATAAGTTAATTTTTCTTAAATTTTTTATTTTTACTGTAAATTACATTCCATAAAGAAAAGTCATGTTAAATTGAACGCATTCACTACAGATATTTCTTACTTATACCATGTGAACATGAATAACACAGTCCGAACAAAGATATGCAAATTGAATATATTTTCGGTGTAATGACCAACTTAAACATCATATAATGGTTCATCCGAAAAAAAAAATTAAGCATCATAATGCAACGTGGGACAAATAGAATAATTTTAAACTGTTTTAATTATTGAGATTTGGTTGTTTAATTAGATGAAAATGAAAATGATTTTATAAAAGAAGAAGAAGAAGAGGTTGTTTAATTAGATGAAAATGAAAATGATTTTATAAAAG